AATAAAACATTACTTTTCAAACACAGGTAATCACTGCTCATATTATCTAGGGTGTGTGAAAGCAAAGTCCATAGGAAAAATTATAATCTATTTAAACTGAAATTACCTTCAACATTCTGATGATTTTCACTAAGGAAAATATTTTCTCCTACTTTAGAAATGAAATTCAAAAAATCCAAACAAAATACGAATAGCAGAAAACAAAAACAAAACAACAAAACCAACAACCTGAAGGCTGTATACAATCCATGCTGAAACACTGCTAACCCCTGTGGCTGGGATGTGACTTAACCGGAAAGACAATCCGAATTCCCTCTGTTTCCTCTCAGTCAGCAAGGTGGCCCCTTCCAACCTCACTCCTTTTGTGCTTGCAGTTGAGGCAAACAGACCTTCTCAACTGCTGACATTAACTGAAGGCAGCAATCTATCTGTTGTCTTTGAATATTTTCTCTTACAAAGAAGTTGGTCTGTCAAAGACAAACCGAAGACTCAGTTTGGAATATCCGAGTCTGAGTGCGCTGATGCTCCAACAGCAGGGCTTTTTAGCTCCTGTATTTATCTCTAAGCTGATTTTCAGCTTAGAAGGTGGGTAACAAATCAGTACCTCCAGTTTTTAGAAGGAAGTCTGTACACAAACCCCACCCGTTGATTTTCTTTTGCTTCCCTCACTGAATATCCCTATGTTGTTGTTGTTGCTCTAGAAATGACAGGGACATCAAATCATTGTCAAAAGAATGGGGAAACTTGTAGTGTCTGAATGACTGACTTGCTAAAATATGCAAACAAACTTATTCTCTTCTTCTAGAAAAAAGGGGAGGAAGTGGCATGAATGCGTGCCCTGGGCTGACACTTCTGGAGTTCTAGTAGGTTTCAGCTGGTACAGATGAAAGAAGTATGGCAGTGAAGAAACTCAAGAAAGAGACAGCTAGTAATATGCATTCATCACTCTGCGACAACCAACCCACCTGTATATTGTTCACACTGTCTCAGCTAGCATTACAATAGTTAATGTTATTTACTAATGTTATCACTGAAATTTATAGAAAGAATATTCTACGCAAAGTAGCACAACTGATACACAACTAAAACAAGCAATGCAGGACAAAAATTGCTGAGACCCCAGTGAAGGGAAGGGAGAAAGGGAGGGAGGGAGGGAGGGAGGGAGGGAGGAAGGGAGGAAGGGAGGAAGGGAGGAAGGGAGGAAGGGAGGAAGGGAGGAAGGGAGGAAGGGAGGAAGGGAGGAAGGGAGGAAGGGAGGAAGGGAAGGGGAAAGGAGAAGGCTGGCAAACACAGCTCTGCTTTCCATAGAACTAACCAGCTCTGATTTGAATCTGAATACAGGCTTCCTAAAATATTTTTTTATTTGTAACAGGTGGCATCTCACCTGCTAGAACTGATATTTAGAAGCTAGAAAAGAAGAGCAAACCCTCTTTGCATGAAATAACGATAGATACGGAGAATTACTGTGCTCTCAAATTGATAACGTGTTTGACATACAACATCTGGTGCTGTAACGATGAAATCACATGGATACGTTTCATTCTGAAATGCTAAAATACATTTAAAATATGTGAATAAAAATCAACATGCGCTGAAGGGAATCATTCCAACTTTTTTTCCCCCTCCATTTAAATACTCAGGACTGAGATTCAGTAATCACTACAGAAGAACGAATGGTGACTTTTACTACTCAGAAAAGAAAACTACACCAAAGCACTGAATGGAGGAGGGGAAACATTTCAAAAGGCACTGCTTCTAGAACTGTCACAGCTTTTTCTGCTTGAAAATATACAGGACTGATAAGATAACCAGACTTGGTCATAGCAAAAGTAGAAAAGATTCCTGAACGATAAGAAAGTTTGAGAATAAGCAGGCAGAATGACTCCATTTTAAGAAATGGGATCTACGTGGTCTTACAGAAGATGACAAGCTAAAGTTCACAATTTGCAAACTGCTCTAATCTTTTTGTTTAGTTTTAGCATTTCAGTTCAAAACTTCAGAGCTCCAGGAGGCTGCATCCAGTGAAACTCACAAAGAATAACATTGGTTATCAACACGAACATAATGAGCTTTTGGGAATCTATTTCAAAAGGTGTAACTGAGGCCACAAGCTTAAAGGATTAAAAATGCTAAAAAAAAATCCTAAAGCAAATGGAAATAGAGAATGAATGAATCCAGAATCACAGCAGCAACTTATGTGTGGTGATTTCATAACTGCAAGGAATATTTCATCTTTTACAAGCATGTGACATTGGTCACTTCCTGATAATAATTCCCACATAAACAGAAAACCAACATTGCCCTTGTTTATGTGAGGAGGAAATGGTAAACCCAACATTTAAAATCCAACAAAAAACAGAAATAAAACCCACATTGCTGCTATGTGTTGAAGTGTAACAGGAGCCTCAATGCCGATGAAGATGTGAATTAACAGTCAGGAAGATTTCCCAAAAAATCCCAAGGCAGAGATCCCTGGGCAAGATCCCTGTTCTCTGATGTGCATGACATCAGATTAAATGAACAAAACGATCCCCACCTGGAGTTAAAAACCCATCAATAGCTCTAATTTAACGATCCATTATGGCTTCATAAACATACATGGGAGGACAACAGCAAGGGTTTTGCCTTCCCAAATCCCAGCACATCCTAGTACAGACGAACAAGAAACAGATTTTTTCTCCTCCCACTCATCTTTTGCTGTATGTGCGGGCAGGAGGATGTAAGAGGAAGTCCTGTCTGACTTTCGACAGGCAGTTACCATGAAATGTTTGAGAGGATAAGTGCCAAGTACAACAGCGCTGGAAGAACGCTTACTAAGCTTAGTTCAGAAAACATTCCTGTTCCATCCATACATCAGATAAATGAGAAGCATTAGGCAGGATGAGTCGACATCTTCAGAAGGGACCTAGTTTGGAATGCGATTTCTTTTTTATGCATTTGGCAAACCAACCAACTCTTTTTCTTAATTATTCTTTTTAAAGATATCGAGGACATTAGGCAAGAGACACAAGAGCTCAGTACCGATGTCTGGACTTCTGCAGCTTCTAATTCACTTTCATTATCTAATAAGAGCTACCAGTGAATTCAATCACAGTTCCAAAAACTGAAAACAAAGCAATGATGAAGAACAGCCAGGTTGCAGCCTCTGCAGTTCTACGGCTGCTCCAGCAACTGTGACGGGCTCTGCTGCTGCTCCAACCCTTGCAACACGTCCTGCAGCTGCTCCAGTCCCTGCAAGAGGCCCTGCAATTGCTTCAGTCCTTGTAATGGACCTGTGGGTACTGTAAGCCTTCTCAAGGGCCCCACAGCTGCCATGACCCTCACAGCTAGCCCTGTGGTCACTCCAATCCCTATGAGAAGTCCCACAGTTCAACCAAAGAACCAACCAGTGCCTGTAACTCTTCTCCCTTCAAAGTGGGAAGAAAAAAAATATCCCAAAAAGCCAGAACGTTTAACAAGGAGAGAAGCTCATAAGATGAAGGTGGAACAGAGCCACTACTAAAATGGGAGAAGAAAGAGAAAGAAACTGACTCTAACATTAAATGAACCATGAGGTGTGCAAAAAGATTACAGCTTAGCCAGCCAAGCACCACACGCACACAACGCTGGTAGCAACCTCTGGATGGATGGAAACAAAACCCCATGCACATGGCTGCTGCCCAAATGCCTGAAAAGCAAGCCTTCTGGTGACACAGCACCCCAGAAGGAACTGAGTCAGACAACAGGACTCACTTCTGAAACAATCTCATCATCACCTGGGCAAAAGAACACAGCTTTCAGTTGCTATATCACATCCCCTACCACACACAGCATCTGGAAAAATCAGCTGATACACTGGCCTATTAAAGACTACCTTAGGAACCGTAGGTGCATTCCATTTAAACACCGGGACAAATATTTAGCAAAAGCCACCTGGTTAGTCAACGCTCAGGGATCTGCCAGTGGGGCTGGTCCTGTCCAATGAAACATCCTGTGTACCATAGAAGGGGGATAAAGATGCAGTGGAGCATGTAAAGAACATGCTGAGCAAGACAGTCTGGATTATTCCCGCCTCAAAGGCAAGCCTATTTGTGGGATTACTTCTCCTAAAGGACCTGCAAACACGTGGTGGGAAAAGCAGGATGGTGGGTGGGTGTTGCGTACCTCAAAGGGATTTGATGGTGCGTAAGAATAAACAGTTGGTAGACAATACTGCATGCCATCATCACCGCAGTTGTTACAGGCCTCACTAACATTGTTACCATAAGAACCACCTCACCGAAAGAGGAACCAAATCTGTTGAAGTAAAGCTAGCTTAGCAAGAAGTAATCTGACAACCTCTCTTGTACTGAAGGGCTGCTGTAACAGATACAGCCCAAAATCATGAACTAAATGACCTTCACGGACAGAAAATTTACATGGACGGGCCACAGGGAGTTGGAATTAGATGTGTGTAAACATCACAAAGTAAGACAGGAGACAATAAACAATTAGGATGTATAAGATCGTTACAAGATCTAACCATAACCTAAATGAGACAGGACAAGGGGGGGATATGGCTCTAGTTTCAGCAGGGACAGAGTAGCTTTTCCTCACAGTGGATGGCATGATGCTACGTTTCAGAGAAGTACGATACCATAACTCACCAGTGTTTCCAGTTCTTACGGAGCAGTTCTGAACAGAGTGAACGATGTTTGTTTTGTCACTCTCCTACTGTACAGGAAGAGGGCTGGGAGCAGCACAGGGAGCGGGGACAGAAACAGGACGGGTGACCTAAACCTGGCCAAGGCAATATTCCATACCCCATGCCATGACACGTAAGGAAAACTTGGAATGTCACCACTACTCACCACTACACGCCAAAGACAGCCGACCAAAATCCTCCGTAAAGATAAAAGGATTTTACTTATGGGTAGAGAAAAGAAACAAATGGCAGAAGAGCAATTCAACAAGAAAACGCTTTATGCTGAGGCAGACCTTAATACCAAAATACAGTGCAGGAAAGAAACGGAAACAGGATATCCATTGCAACAACAACATACAAATAAAATTTATTCTCAAAGGTCTCTAGTGGGAACTGGGAAGTAACAACAGCAATACACACATTTCAACTGTGGCTTCAAAAGACAAGTTAATACAAAGAGATTGACAATAAAAAGAATCTCCTTCATGGTCGCTCCTGCCTCCCGTGTCCCCACACCGCTTCTTCTTCTTCCTCCTCCTCCTCCTCCTCCTGCAGCAGCTCCTGAAACATCAGCGAGGACACCATTAGACCTGCACAGCAACAAGCCCCCCACCGGAAGGGAAAAGGAAACCCAACAGCACAAAAGAACCCGGCACGCCCCCACCAGGCCAAGGAAGGCCTAGCATCCCCCCTCCCCAGTTCATCCCAGCAAAAACTACCTTGAGCAGCTTTTCTCACCTCACTGGCGCACGGCGCGCTTCCAGCCGGTGCTGCGGGGGATCACAGAGGCGGGCAGACTGGGCAAATGGAGCTGGGCACACAACAAGCAGCGGCCAAAGAGTCATCTTCCCTGATTACAGGGGACCCCCGCCACTGCATCCATTGCAAAGGGCCTGGGATTGCGAGGCACTGGCGCTCCCCGCCTTACAGGGCAGCCCCCATCCCTACCGGCCGCGGGAGGCTCCTTCTCTCCCACTCAGGGGGCACCTTGACCCGCACCCCGCTAACGGGGCGGTCACCCCACACAGGCTGCCAGCTGAGCACAAGCGCTCGCGCACCCAGACCCTGATTACAGGCGGGTGGACAACACCCCTGGAGCCACAGAGCTCGGTTTCCCCCCCAGCGGCGGGAGCGACTCTCAGCTGCCAGGCAGCGGGGCAACACGGCCAAATGCCGCGCTCGGGGTCCCAGCCCTGATTCCTGGTCCCAGGGAGGGCGCAAGCCCAACCCCGCATCTCGCGGCCCCGTGCCTCTGAAAGGCCGGGGCCACATGCCCGCCTGACTACAGGGGGTCTCTCTCAACGCAGCTCACCAAGCACACAGCGGGGGCACGCACAGCCCTGCCTACAGGACGGTACCCCCACACCCCACCCTCACCAAGAAGCCCCGCGGAGCACGAGGCTCCCGCCAACGCCTGAGCTACAGGCTGGCCCGCCCGGCAGCAGCACAACATCACCAAGCTCTCGTCTTTGGGAACCCGGGGAGCAACCTCGACCCACTCAGCGGGGAGGTCACCCCACACACAAAACCAGCACCTCAACCTGCACCCTCTGACGGGACAGGGAGGGGTCAATCCCACCAGCTGGATGGCTAGAGCAGCCGGCTGCAATGCTGCAGCCTCCCCACACCTGATTACAGGCAGGGCGGGCCGCTCGCGGGACAGAGGCCTCCGCAGCTTAGGACACACGCCCCGACTACGGGGCTGTCACACCGCCAGCGGAGCAGGCGCCCACTCAAGGACAGCCAAGAGCCTGGGAACTCTCTCTAGCCTGCACGGAGGCCGCAGACCTCAACGTGCCAAGGGGCTTCCCAGCTAAAGCCAAAGCCGGCCAGATGCCGTGACGCGCACCCCGAGTACGGGGCCGTCGCATTTACGGGCCACCACCAGGCAACGATGCCGAGGGGCCGGAGGAGGAAGAGGGACGGGCAAACGGCACTACCCTGCTTACAGGGCGGCCTCGGGGTCCGGCGAGCTCCATTTCCCACTCAGGTGCGGAGAGGTGGCTCTCGCCCTCCGTTACAGGGGGCCACGCTCCCCAGGCAGCCTAAGGAGCAGCAAGGCAAAAGCCCAACTACAGCAAAAGCAAAGACCCGAGCCCTGCTTACAGGGAGGTCGCCCAGCACAAAGCCGGCCTAGGCACCGGCAACGCTCAAACTCTCATGTGACTGCAGCCCCTCTATAATGGAAAACCTGCTTTGCCCAGCCTGCCTCTCTCCTTCCCCCCCGCGTCGGCACGCTTCGGCATCCTCTTCTTGCTCGCTCCTGCCTCCCGTGTTCCCACGCCGCTTCTTCTTCCTCCTCCTCCTCCTGCAGCAGCTCCTGAAACATCAGCGAGGACACCATTAGACCTGCACAGCAACAAGCCCCCCACCGGAAGGGAAAAGGAAACCCAACAGCACAAAAGAACCCGGCACGCCCCCACCAGGCCAAGGAAGGCCTAGCATCCCCCCTCCCCAGTTCATCCCAGCAAAAACTACCTTGAGCAGCTTTTCTCACCTCACTGGCGCACGGCGCGCTTCCAGCCGGTGCTGCGGGGGATCACAGAGGCGGGCAGACTGGGCAAATGGAGCTGGGCACACAACAAGCAGCGGCCAAAGAGTCATCTTCCCTGATTACAGGGGACCCCCGCCACTGCATCCATTGCAAAGGGCCTGGGATTGCGAGGCACTGGCGCTCCCCGCCTTACAGGGCAGCCCCCATCCCTACCGGCCGCGGGAGGCTCCTTCTCTCCCACTCAGGGGGCACCTTGACCCGCACCCCGCTAACGGGGCGGTCACCCCACACAGGCTGCCAGCTGAGCACAAGCGCTCGCGCACCCAGACCCTGATTACAGGCGGGTGGACAACACCCCTGGAGCCACAGAGCTCGGTTTCCCCCCCAGCGGCGGGAGCGACTCTCAGCTGCCAGGCAGCGGGGCAACACGGCCAAATGCCGCGCTCGGGGTCCCAGCCCTGATTCCTGGTCCCAGGGAGGGCGCAAGCCCAACCCCGCATCTCGCGGCCCCGTGCCTCTGAAAGGCCGGGGCCACATGCCCGCCTGACTACAGGGGGTCTCTCTCAACGCAGCTCACCAAGCACACAGCGGGGGCACGCACAGCCCTGCCTACAGGACGGTACCCCCACACCCCACCCTCACCAAGAAGCCCCGCGGAGCACGAGGCTCCCGCCAACGCCTGAGCTACAGGCTGGCCCGCCCGGCAGCAGCACAACATCACCAAGCTCTCGTCTTTGGGAACCCGGGGAGCAACCTCGACCCACCCAGCGGGGAGGTCACCCCACACACAAAACCAGCACCTCAACCTGCACCCTCTGACGGGACAGGGAGGGGTCAATCCCACCAGCTGGATGGCTAGAGCAGCCGGCTGCAATGCTGCAGCCTCCCCACACCTGATTACAGGCAGGGCGGGCCGCTCGCGGGACAGAGGCCTCCGCAGCTTAGGACACACGCCCCGACTACGGGGCTGTCACACCGCCAGCGGAGCAGGCGCCCACTCAAGGACAGCCAAGAGCCTGGGAACTCTCTCTAGCCTGCACGGAGGCCGCAGACCTCAACGTGCCAAGGGGCTTCCCAGCTAAAGCCAAAGCCGGCCAGATGCCGTGACGCGCACCCCGAGTACGGGGCCGTCGCATTTACGGGCCACCACCAGGCAACGATGCCGAGGGGCCGGAGGAGGAAGAGGGACGGGCAAACGGCACTACCCTGCTTACAGGGCGGCCTCGGGGTCCGGCGAGCTCCATTTCCCACTCAGGTGCGGAGAGGTGGCTCTCGCCCTCCGTTACAGGGGGCCACGCTCCCCAGGCAGCCTAAGGAGCAGCAAGGCAAAAGCCCAACTACAGCAAAAGCAAAGACCCGAGCCCTGCTTACAGGGAGGTCGCCCAGCACAAAGCCGGCCTAGGCACCGGCAACGCTCAAACTCTCATGTGACTGCAGCCCCTCTATAATGGAAAACCTGCTTTGCCCAGCCTGCCTCTCTCCTTCCCCCCCGCGTCGGCACGCTTCGGCATCCTCTTCTTGCTCGCTCCTGCCTCCCGTGTTCCCACGCCGCTTCTTCTTCTTCCTCCTCCTCCTCCTCCTCCTGCAGCAGCTCCTGAAACATCAGCGAGGACACCATTAGACCTGCACAGCAACAAGCCCCCCACCGGAAGGGAAAAGGAAACCCAACAGCACAAAAGAACCCGGCACGCCCCCACCAGGCCAAGGAAGGCCTAGCATCCCCCCTCCCCAGTTCATCCCAGCAAAAACTACCTTGAGCAGCTTTTCTCACCTCACTGGCGCACGGCGCGCTTCCAGCCGGTGCTGCGGGGGATCACAGAGGCGGGCAGACTGGGCAAATGGAGCTGGGCACACAACAAGCAGCGGCCAAAGAGTCATCTTCCCTGATTACAGGGGACCCCCGCCACTGCATCCATTGCAAAGGGCCTGGGATTGCGAGGCACTGGCGCTCCCCGCCTTACAGGGCAGCCCCCATCCCTACCGGCCGCGGGAGGCTCCTTCTCTCCCACTCAGGGGGCACCTTGACCCGCACCCCGCTAACGGGGCGGTCACCCCACACAGGCTGCCAGCTGAGCACAAGCGCTCGCGCACCCAGACCCTGATTACAGGCGGGTGGACAACACCCCTGGAGCCACAGAGCTCGGTTTCCCCCCCAGCGGCGGGAGCGACTCTCAGCTGCCAGGCAGCGGGGCAACACGGCCAAATGCCGCGCTCGGGGTCCCAGCCCTGATTCCTGGTCCCAGGGAGGGCGCAAGCCCAACCCCGCATCTCGCGGCCCCGTGCCTCTGAAAGGCCGGGGCCACATGCCCGCCTGACTACAGGGGGTCTCTCTCAACGCAGCTCACCAAGCACACAGCGGGGGCACGCACAGCCCTGCCTACAGGACGGTACCCCCACACCCCACCCTCACCAAGAAGCCCCGCGGAGCACGAGGCTCCCGCCAACGCCTGAGCTACAGGCTGGCCCGCCCGGCAGCAGCACAACATCACCAAGCTCTCGTCTTTGGGAACCCGGGGAGCAACCTCGACCCACCCAGCGGGGAGGTCACCCCACACACAAAACCAGCACCTCAACCTGCACCCTCTGACGGGACAGGGAGGGGTCAATCCCACCAGCTGGATGGCTAGAGCAGCCGGCTGCAATGCTGCAGCCTCCCCACACCTGATTACAGGCAGGGCGGGCCGCTCGCGGGACAGAGGCCTCCGCAGCTTAGGACACACGCCCCGACTACGGGGCTGTCACACCGCCAGCGGAGCAGGCGCCCACTCAAGGACAGCCAAGAGCCTGGGAACTCTCTCTAGCCTGCACGGAGGCCGCAGACCTCAACGTGCCAAGGGGCTTCCCAGCTAAAGCCAAAGCCGGCCAGATGCCGTGACGCGCACCCCGAGTACGGGGCCGTCGCATTTACGGGCCACCACCAGGCAACGATGCCGAGGGGCCGGAGGAGGAAGAGGGACGGGCAAACGGCACTACCCTGCTTACAGGGCGGCCTCGGGGTCCGGCGAGCTCCATTTCCCACTCAGGTGCGGAGAGGTGGCTCTCGCCCTCCGTTACAGGGGGCCACGCTCCCCAGGCAGCCTAAGGAGCAGCAAGGCAAAAGCCCAACTACAGCAAAAGCAAAGACCCGAGCCCTGCTTACAGGGAGGTCGCCCAGCACAAAGCCGGCCTAGGCACCGGCAACGCTCAAACTCTCATGTGACTGCAGCCCCTCTATAATGGAAAACCTGCTTTGCCCAGCCTGCCTCTCTCCTTCCCCCCCGCGTCGGCACGCTTCGGCATCCTCTTCTTGCTCGCTCCTGCCTCCCGTGTTCCCACGCCGCTTCTTCTTCTTCCTCCTCCTCCTCCTCCTCCTGCAGCAGCTCCTGAAACATCAGCGAGGACACCATTAGACCTGCACAGCAACAAGCCCCCCACCGGAAGGGAAAAGGAAACCCAACAGCACAAAAGAACCCGGCACGCCCCCACCAGGCCAAGGAAGGCCTAGCATCCCCCCTCCCCAGTTCATCCCAGCAAAAACTACCTTGAGCAGCTTTTCTCACCTCACTGGCGCACGGCGCGCTTCCAGCCGGTGCTGCGGGGGATCACAGAGGCGGGCAGACTGGGCAAATGGAGCTGGGCACACAACAAGCAGCGGCCAAAGAGTCATCTTCCCTGATTACAGGGGACCCCCGCCACTGCATCCATTGCAAAGGGCCTGGGATTGCGAGGCACTGGCGCTCCCCGCCTTACAGGGCAGCCCCCATCCCTACCGGCCGCGGGAGGCTCCTTCTCTCCCACTCAGGGGGCACCTTGACCCGCACCCCGCTAACGGGGCGGTCACCCCACACAGGCTGCCAGCTGAGCACAAGCGCTCGCGCACCCAGACCTGATTACAGGCGGGTGGACAACACCCCTGGAGCCACAGAGCTCGGTTTCCCCCCCAGCGGCGGGAGCGACTCTCAGCTGCCAGGCAGCGGGGCAACACGGCCAAATGCCGCGCTCGGGGTCCCAGCCCTGATTCCTGGTCCCAGGGAGGGCGCAAGCCCAACCCCGCATCTCGCGGCCCCGTGCCTCTGAAAGGCCGGGGCCACATGCCCGCCTGACTACAGGGGGTCTCTCTCAACGCAGCTCACCAAGCACACAGCGGGGGCACGCACAGCCCTGCCTACAGGACGGTACCCCCACACCCCACCCTCACCAAGAAGCCCCGCGGAGCACGAGGCTCCCGCCAACGCCTGAGCTACAGGCTGGCCCGCCCGGCAGCAGCACAACATCACCAAGCTCTCGTCTTTGGGAACCCGGGGAGCAACCTCGACCCACCCAGCGGGGAGGTCACCCCACACACAAAACCAGCACCTCAACCTGCACCCTCTGACGGGACAGGGAGGGGTCAATCCCACCAGCTGGATGGCTAGAGCAGCCGGCTGCAATGCTGCAGCCTCCCCACACCTGATTACAGGCAGGGCGGGCCGCTCGCGGGACAGAGGCCTCCGCAGCTTAGGACACACGCCCCGACTACGGGGCTGTCACACCGCCAGCGGAGCAGGCGCCCACTCAAGGACAGCCAAGAGCCTGGGAACTCTCTCTAGCCTGCACGGAGGCCGCAGACCTCAACGTGCCAAGGGGCTTCCCAGCTAAAGCCAATTGCCAGATGCCGTGACGCGCACCCCGAGTACGGGGCCGTCGCATTTACGGGCCACCACCAGGCAACGATGCCGAGGGGCCGGAGGAGGAAGAGGGACGGGCAAACGGCACTACCCTGCTTACAGGGCGGCCTCGGGGTCCGGCGAGCTCCATTTCCCACTCAGGTGCGGAGAGGTGGCTCTCGCCCTCCGTTACAGGGGGCCACGCTCCCCAGGCAGCCTAAGGAGCAGCAAGGCAAAAGCCCAACTACAGCAAAAGCAAAGACCCGAGCCCTGCTTACAGGGAGGTCGCCCAGCACAAAGCCGGCCTAGGCACCGGCAACGCTCAAACTCTCATGTGACTGCAGCCCCTCTATAATGGAAAACCTGCTTTGCCCAGCCTGCCTCTCTCCTTCCCCCCCGCGTCGGCACGCTTCGGCATCCTCTTCTTGCTCGCTCCTGCCTCCCGTGTTCCCACGCCGCTTCTTCTTCTTCCTCCTCCTCCTCCTCCTCCTGCAGCAGCTCCTGAAACATCAGCGAGGACACCATTAGACCTGCACAGCAACAAGCCCCCCACCGGAAGGGAAAAGGAAACCCAACAGCACAAAAGAACCCGGCACGCCCCCACCAGGCCAAGGAAGGCCTAGCATCCCCCCTCCCCAGTTCATCCCAGCAAAAACTACCTTGAGCAGCTTTTCTCACCTCACTGGCGCACGGCGCGCTTCCAGCCGGTGCTGCGGGGGATCACAGAGGCGGGCAGACTGGGCAAATGGAGCTGGGCACACAACAAGCAGCGGCCAAAGAGTCATCTTCCCTGATTACAGGGGACCCCCGCCACTGCATCCATTGCAAAGGGCCTGGGATTGCGAGGCACTGGCGCTCCCCGCCTTACAGGGCAGCCCCCATCCCTACCGGCCGCGGGAGGCTCCTTCTCTCCCACTCAGGGGGCACCTTGACCCGCACCCCGCTAACGGGGCGGTCACCCCACACAGGCTGCCAGCTGAGCACAAGCGCTCGCGCACCCAGACCCTGATTACAGGCGGGTGGACAACACCCCTGGAGCCACAGAGCTCGGTTTCCCCCCCAGCGGCGGGAGCGACTCTCAGCTGCCAGGCAGCGGGGCAACACGGCCAAATGCCGCGCTCGGGGTCCCAGCCCTGATTCCTGGTCCCAGGGAGGGCGCAAGCCCAACCCCGCATCTCGCGGCCCCGTGCCTCTGAAAGGCCGGGGCCACATGCCCGCCTGACTACAGGGGGTCTCTCTCAACGCAGCTCACCAAGCACACAGCGGGGGCACGCACAGCCCTGCCTACAGGACGGTACCCCCACACCCCACCCTCACCAAGAAGCCCCGCGGAGCACGAGGCTCCCGCCAACGCCTGAGCTACAGGCTGGCCCGCCCGGCAGCAGCACAACATCACCAAGCTCTCGTCTTTGGGAACCCGGGGAGCAACCTCGACCCACCCAGCGGGGAGGTCACCCCACACACAAAACCAGCACCTCAACCTGCACCCTCTGACGGGACAGGGAGGGGTCAATCCCACCAGCTGGATGGCTAGAGCAGCCGGCTGCAATGCTGCAGCCTCCCCACACCTGATTACAGGCAGGGCGGGCCGCTCGCGGGACAGAGGCCTCCGCAGCTTAGGACACACGCCCCGACTACGGGGCTGTCACACCGCCAGCGGAGCAGGCGCCCACTCAAGGACAGCCAAGAGCCTGGGAACTCTCTCTAGCCTGCACGGAGGCCGCAGACCTCAACGTGCCAAGGGGCTTCCCAGCTAAAGCCAAAGCCGGCCAGATGCCGTGACGCGCACCCCGAGTACGGGGCCGTCGCATTTACGGGCCACCACCAGGCAACGATGCCGAGGGGCCGGAGGAGGAAGAGGGACGGGCAAACGGCACTACCCTGCTTACAGGGCGGCCTCGGGGTCCGGCGAGCTCCATTTCCCACTCAGGTGCGGAGAGGTGGCTCTCGCCCTCCGTTACAGGGGGCCACGCTCCCCAGGCAGCCTAAGGAGCAGCAAGGCAAAAGCCCAACTACAGCAAAAGCAAAGACCCGAGCCCTGCTTACAGGGAGGTCGCCCAGCACAAAGCCGGCCTAGGCACCGGCAACGCTCAAACTCTCATGTGACTGCAGCCCCTCTATAATGGAAAACCTGCTTTGCCCAGCCTGCCTCTCTCCTTCCCCCCCGCGTCGGCACGCTTCGGCATCCTCTTCTTGCTCGCTCCTGCCTCCCGTGTTCCCACGCCGCTTCTTCTTCTTCCTCCTCCTCCTCCTCCTCCTCCTGCAGCAGCTCCTGAAACATCAGCGAGGACACCATTAGACCTGCACAGCAACAAGCCCCCCACCGGAAGGGAAAAGGAAACCCAACAGCACAAAAGAACCCGGCACGCCCCCACCAGGCCAAGGAAGGCCTAGCATCCCCCCTCCCCAGTTCATCCCAGCAAAAACTACCTTGAGCAGCTTTTCTCACCTCACTGGCGCACGGCGCGCTTCCAGCCGGTGCTGCGGGGGATCACAGAGGCGGGCAGACTGGGCAAATGGAGCTGGGCACACAACAAGCAGCGGCCAAAGAGTCATCTTCCCTGATTACAGGGGACCCCCGCCACTGCATCCATTGCAAAGGGCCTGGGATTGCGAGGCACTGGCGCTCCCCGCCTTACAGGGCAGCCCCCATCCCTACCGGCCGCGGGAGGCTCCTTCTCTCCCACTCAGGGGGCACCTTGACCCGCACCCCGCTAACGGGGCGGTCACCCCACACAGGCTGCCAGCTGAGCACAAGCGCTCGCGCACCCAGACCCTGATTACAGGCGGGTGGACAACACCCCTGGAGCCACAGAGCTCGGTTTCCCCCCCAGCGGCGGGAGCGACTCTCAGCTGCCAGGCAGCGGGGCAACACGGCCAAATGCCGCGCTCGGGGTCCCAGCCCTGATTCCTGGTCCCAGGGAGGGCGCAAGCCCAACCCCGCATCTCGCGGCCCCGTGCCTCTGAAAGGCCGGGGCCACATGCCCGCCTGACTACAGGGGGTCTCTCTCAACGCAGCTCACCAAGCACACAGCGGGGGCACGCACAGCCCTGCCTACAGGACGGTACCCCCACACCCCACCCTCACCAAGAAGCCCCGCGGAGCACGAGGCTCCCGCCAACGCCTGAGCTACAGGCTGGCCCGCCCGGCAGCAGCACAACATCACCAAGCTCTCGTCTTTGGGAACCCGGGGAGCAACCTCGACCCACCCAGCGGGGAGGTCACCCCACACACAAAACCAGCACCTCAACCTGCACCCTCTGACGGGACAGGGAGGGGTCAATCCCACCAGCTGGATGGCTAGAGCAGCCGGCTGCAATGCTGCAGCCTCCCCACACCTGATTACAGGCAGGGCGGGCCGCTCGCGGGACAGAGGCCTCCGCAGCTTAGGACACACGCCCCGACTACGGGGCTGTCACACCGCCAGCGGAGCAGGCGCCCACTCAAGGACAGCCAAGAGCCTGGGAACTCTCTCTAGCCTGCACGGAGGCCGCAGACCTCAACGTGCCAAGGGGCTTCCCAGCTAAAGCCAATTGCCAGATGCCGTGACACGCACCCCACTAAAGGACTGGCCCAAGCCCTGGCTACAGGGCGGCCTCAGCCACACAGCTACCACGTGGCTCTGATCTATGCTAAGTAATTTAGAGGAAGACAGGACACTCGCTGCGCTCGCGGGACTGAGAGGGAACACCCCTTGTGTGGCATGCACCAAAGTCCTCCATTCCCCCCTGGGAAGTCGAAGCTAGGCTGCAGCCATTTTTGTGGGAGCCTAAAGGGAAAGCTCACTCACTCCGTCACACCACAGACACAAACATGGAAAGGAAGGGGAACACACGCACACAGATGCGACTTTCCAGAAGGGAGGGACAACACAGCACAGCCAAACCCTGGGAATAAACCCACAACCGCGGGCAACAGACAAGAGCCTGCAACCTGTCCCTAGCCTGCACGGAGGCCGCAGACCTCAACGTGCCAAGGGGCTTCCCAGCTAAAGCCAAAGCCGGCCAGATGCCGTGACGCGCACCCCGAGTACGGGGCCGTCGCATTTACGGGCCACCACCAGGCAACGATGCCGAGGGGCCGGAGGAGGAAGAGGGACGGGCAAACGGCACTACCCTGCTTACAGGGCGGCCTCGGGGTCCGGCGAGCTCCATTTCCCACTCAGGTGCGGAGAGGTGGCTCTCGCCCTCCGTTACAGGGGGCCACGCTCCCCAGGCAGCCTAAGGAGCAGCAAGGCAAAAGCCCAACTACAGCAAAAGCAAAGACCCGAGCCCTGCTTACAGGGAGGTCGCCCAGCACAAAGCCGGCCTAGGCACCGGCAACGCTCAAACTCTCATGTGACTGCAGCCCCTCTATAATGGAAAACCTGCTTTGCCCAGCCTGCCTCTCTCCTTCCCCCCCGCGTTGGCATCCTCTTCTTGCTCGCTTCTGCCTCCTGCGTCCCCACACTGCTTCTTGCAAAAATAACAGTTTTCATTATAGTAATTGTTCTCCATAAAGTTAACCACTGTACCATCTTGCACTTCCGTATTGTCAGCGTGGCCCACCGATTAGGGAGGTTTTTTTGCCTTGTTTTACTCCCCTCACCTGCAACATTTCAGATTGCAGCTCCTATAAATTCTTTTCATTTCTCATTCTCCTGTTCGTAGCAATAATGGGCCGTGAAGTTACAAGGGACATTTACAATTTGTAACATCTATTGCCATGGATTGTCTTTTAGAAGAATACAATATTTCACATTGAAGCCTTTATTTTTCTGAGCATCCACCTGTTCCTCTTATAGAGCTTCTTTAACACACTTCCATTTTTAAACAGCACAATGATACTTTATGTCTCCCCCCTTTTCATCAGCAGTGCCACTCTCGCGTCCTCCCCCATTCCCACCACCTCGTTCGTGAGAAGAGAAACAAAACCGCTTGTTTCAGCACTGCGATAGCAGTTGCTATTGCTTTATTGTTGCTGCTCGCCGTTGCCTCGGAGCGTCTTCTTGCACGTGGCAGCTCGCCCCGCTTGTCGCGCCTCCTCTGGTAGCGCGCTCAGAGCTCCCTGCTCTCGCAGCCCGCTCGGAGGCCCCGGCTCCGCCCGCCCGCCATCGGAGCCCAGCAGGCGACTCCAGCCCCGGCTCCTTCCTCCCGCCACCGGAGCGCAACTAGCAGCTCCAACCCCGGTTCGGCCCGGCCGCCATCGGGGCCTGCGACTTCGACTGCCATCCGCCGGAGCCCGCGCGCAGCGGCAGCAGCAGAGGCCCGTGCCCCGCCCCGCCCAACCCACCTCGACCCGGTCCCAGCCTCGCCGCACCCCCGCGCCGGCCCCGCTACGCCTTGCCTCGGATCCGCCGCACCCCGGCCCCGCCGCACCTCGGCTCTGGAGACCGCTTGCTGTCGCTGTCGCTGCTACCGCCGGCGTCTTTCCGTCACAGCACCCCAGTGCTCTTCACAACGCTATGGACAACGTCTCACTCACCTGCCCGCGCGCGCACCTTTTATAGCTGTCCCTTCAGCCCGCCAGCCAATAGGAGCGCTGGGCGCCGCTGTCGCTTCCCGCGCTTTTCTTCCCGCCGTTCTCTCTCCAAGCCCCTGGATGTTCCCGCCCTTTCTTCCTCACGGAGGCCGGGCCGGGGTCATCTGGAGGTCACGGCCGGGGTCACCTGTCGGTCACGGCCCGCTCACAGGTGTTGCCATCCATCCCCTCAGGGCTGAGCCGCGGCTCAGGTGATCTCAGCTCACAGCCCCAGAGCCTGGCAGAGCTGTGGGGAACTCCGTGCTTTCATTTCAGGGTTTCTTTTAACAGTGATACACATATGAGGTATTCCTTCCTGAGTTAAGATGCCCACAAACATAATTAAAAAATGTATTCATATCTTTTAAGGAATTCTTCCCAGTGACGTCTCCCATCTCTGCCCCTACTGCAAAAATCCCTCAGAAATGCCATTGCTAAGGGAAAAGAAATGCCATTACTAAGGGAAAAGGGTGAAACAAGCTGGCAGCTGGTGTATGAAGGGTATCATTGATTTGTCAACTCAGGATGCTCCTGTTTTGTACAGCTGCTTGTATTTTATAACTCACTTACACACCGTGGTTGGAAACGCTCACCTAAAGGCTTTGTGCTGCAGAGTTTGCCCAATTCCTTTCCTTCTGTGCTCAGCTACGTTGTTGCTCATTGCAGCAATGGCACAAACTACGACTATGGAAGAGACAAATCGGTGGATACAGAATAACTGCTGCTCCCCCCTAAGCCAAAACAGAATGTAGCAGCAGCAGCAATGACTCAGCCGTGAGTAAGAGGTTCCCTCCAGGGAATCTTTTCCTGGCATGTAAGCCAGGCAAATGGAGCACCCTGAAGGAGAAAGGCACCCAGGACCTGAGCGAACTGGCTGTGGTACAGATGGTGTACAGCACCAGTGTCCAGCCTGCTGGTTTGCTTCGGCTGCACTGAGTGAAGACCAATAGTCCTGGGCCACCTATATTTGCTCCAAAAGCAATGCCTCCTATTTATTTTCGTGGAAACGGGTAAAATGAGCACAGTCATTTGAATTTGCTCTGATAGAGCAAATCCTCAGCTGCAAAGCAACTGTTCTCCAATATAGCCATCACCATTAGCTATGCATTTTTGCCTGCAATAAGCATGAGACTGCATGCTGTGCTCTCCAAAATCTGTGCCAGCACAGGTGACCCACAGTCACAGACATCACTGCTCAAGTACACTGCACACTGCCCCTCTGTGCTCACACCCACAAGCATTCTGCAAACACCTGGTGGCTGCCATTTTCTCCACACAGAGGAATTCAGCGACACACCTTTGCTTCATACAGACTTCCTGGATGTCAGGTGCCATTCTGTCAGAGTGCTTTTCTGCTGCCATCTGTCACATGGCAACAGACAGACTATTCCTGGTGCCATTAAATCCATTTGATCAGTGTGAACAGGGTGTGTTTTTCCTCATCTACTTCATTTCATATCCAATTGAAAACATTCACAGAAATTCTGCATAGCCTGAGACAAGAGTGTATATACATAACAGCCAAACATTACTTTGTGTTTGTGAAATAAGTTGTAAAGGAAGGCTTGCAACAGACAGCATTTGACTAGAGCAACATCACTGTGTATTTCCTCTATCCATAAATTCAAATAGAAGTTGTCTATCTCCAGCTCACGAGGCCACACCAAACAAGGCCACCTATTCTGTATTTCAAACCAGTTGTAGATAAAGGCAGTTTTCAGAGGCTTTTTTTCTTAGAACTTGAAGAAAGGCCTGGATTGCAAACAAGATCATTTATGTGACTCCTGTCTCATTGTCTCAAAAAAGAGAATAAAGCATCTGTAGCTGCAAAGCTGAGAAATGTCTGTGTTATTCCATTTCTTAACATAGAAGAAAATCAGCACTAATGGATTTAAGAATTAAAATGAAAATGAAATGCGATTTTTAAACAGTAATTTAAGTTCTAATTGTGAGAGAAACACCACACATTCTAAGACTTGTGCTTCATTGTAATACGCTGCTGTCATTCCAGGCTAATAATTGCTAGTCACTTAGCTAATTATGATGAATGATGAATATCATCAGGTGTTCAAGAGGTCATGTCTAACTAGAATGAAAGTCAGAGCAAATACTTGGTCTGAGAGTCAGCCATCTTGAAGTGCAAATATCTTGATGAGTGCTTGTAAGATACTACTCTGTAAGTTATTATTCTGTTAACTTCTGTGTCTCAAAGTTTGCTGGGAACACCGATGGACTTGTTCAAGTCCAGACAAGTCCCGAGCAAGGACGGTGAAAACCTTTGTTTTAAGGAGACAGATGGACAAGTCCAGGCAAGCCCTAGGCAGAGGTTGTGAAATCCTTTGTCTGGGGGAACGCAGATGGGCAAGGCCAGGGGCAACGAGAGCGAGATGAACTGCAGCTAAATAGC